ATCCTCTCCTATGCTTTTCAATTGCCCACACCCGCCTATTTCAATTCTTTGAAGAGAGGACAGCCCATGGAGGTTTGGAAAGGACATCAAACCATCGCACCCTATTATAGTCAACTCTTTGAGACACGTGGCAGTAGATAAATCCTCTCCTATGCTTTTCAATTGCCCACACCTGAATATTTCAATTTTTTGAAGAGAGGACAGCCCATGGAGGTTCGGAAAGGACATCAAACCATTGCACATCTCTACAGTCAACTCTTTGAGACACGTGGCAGTAGATAAATCCTCTACTATGCTTTTCAATTGCCCACACCCCCATATTTCAATTTTCTGAAGAGAGGACAGCCCATCTCCACTGGGCATGGACATCAGGCTATCACAATCCTGAATTTTTAACTGTTGTAGACACGTGGAGTTAAATTGAGCATCATCTCCAGTCATCTTCAATTCCTTGAGTTGTTGAAGTTCAAGTACCTCAAGAGATTGTAATTTACTAATCATTGGTAGATTTACCAATTTACCACAACTCTCTATGTGTACTTCTTTGAGAGACTTCATGGCAACTGGTCCAACCTCTATCCCAACCAGTTCTTCACATTTCTTAATGATGAGTTTCTGAAGGGACGAATCTGCAATGCTTTTCAAATTCTTGCAACAATTAATTTCCACCTTTGCTTCCTTGCTGAGTGACAATGATGGAATGCTTTCCAACCAGGGACATGCAGAAAAGGTCATGAACATCAGATTTTTGAGAAAATTTTTTGTTTCTAACATCCATGAAGGACAGCTTTTACCACAGTAGCATTCAATAGTTAGGCCTTTCAAATTTGAATGAGGTTGGAGGCCTTCCAAGATGTCTTCATCTTGTGTGCATCTATCTTCACTACCACTGGATTTCTCACCAAACACCAATTGCAACTCCTGAATTGCATCCTTTTCAGAAAGTCTTGCTCCCATGGCTTCTTCTTTGTCTCTAACCATATCCAACTTACAAATCTTTAATTTTCCCCTGAGTTGGCTTAACCATCTCAATTCTCCAATTTGATGTCCCTTCTGTTGGCCCACAACAAATAATTGTAATGTTTTCAGACAAGTCAGTCTACCAATCCCTGCTGGCATAAGCTTTTCATCACTGAAACAAATGTGTCTCAAATTGAGTAAATCCCATATTCCTTCCAAAGGCCTTTCAATTCTGTAGCAATACATAAATCTAAATGTTTGCAAATGATAGAGCTTAGTGATGAACTTGGGAAGTTCTTTGATTTTAGTTTCTGAAACATCCAAGAACCTTAAATGCTTCATTTTCCCCAAAAAAGCTGGCAACTCATCAATATCAGCTCCACAGAAACTGAGAACCCGCACCTTTCTCAAGTTCGTTGACATACTGTGAAAGACATCAATTTGTGAAAACAAAGTGTGCAATTTTTTAGGGGCATCCCCTAATTTTGTTGTTGTCGTCGTATCCTTATCAGAAATGACATTCAAATGTTGAATGTTTGCAGGAATATTTCTTCGGCTACCATCTTCCAAAATCAAAGTTTGGGACTTTGAAACAGATTGTGCAAGATCATGAATTAAATCATGCATTTTGCAAGTAATAATGCTCCCATAAGGATCTCTTTTAACATCTTGAAATAAAGAATTTGATGACAATGCATTGAAATACTTATCACCAACATCCTCCATCTCCACGTGTGTTTCACTAAATGGCTGAAGAAATCCTTCAGCCATCCAGAGCTGGATTAACATCTCCTTTTTCATGACAAGATCTTTAGGGAAAATAGAACAGAAAGCAAAACATTGCTTCAAAGCAGGTATTGGCAAGCGATTGAAACTCAACTGCAACACTCGTAGAACAACCTCAGCTTCTTCCATTGAACGCCATACATTATTATCTTTAATTGACAACCAGTCATCCTTCTTCCTATTATTCCACAAACTCCCCCCAATAATATTTGCAACTAATGCTAAACCTCCACACTTACTAGCAATATCCCTGCCAATCCCCTCCAATTCTGAAGGGAATGACGAGTTGCCAAATGCTCTCTGCTTGATTATAGACCAGCAATCCTCATTGGTTAGTTTCTCAAGATGATGCATGTGCTCAGAAAGTGTTTCCATTGTGGAAGCTACTTTTTCACTTCGAGTTGTGATAAGAACCCTACTCCCAACATTTTTACATATTCCTGACAAACAGCTCCTGAAGAATTCCCATTTTTGTCGATCTTCATTCCATACATCATCTAATATGAGGAGATAATTTTCCTCCCTCAGATTTTCCTGTAGTTTCCGGACTACAATATCTTGATTTACATCCACAGAAACATTTTCATCAAAAGCTTGCAACATTTCTACTAAAATTTGCTTCAAATTAAAATTTTCAGAAACGCAAATCCACATTATTTTGGAAAAATGACTCCGTATTTGCTCATTGTTACACACTAGTTTGGCCACAGTAGTTTTGCCTATGCCTCCCATACCCACTATGGATACAACAAGGAAAGGTTGATCATTACTTGAGTTAATCAATGATTGAACAACTTCTAGGACCTTATTTTCTCTTCCTACCATTTTTGATGGATCAGAGGAATCTGTTGGTTGGATTTCTATATGTTCAGGATGCTTGTTTGTTAATCTATTTTGCAGCCCTAACCCATTGGCTGTCTCATAAAGGCCAGCTAGTTCTGAATTTAAACTCTTAATCCTGTTCGCCATCTTAAGGCGAAAAGCTAAAGGATTGGAAAGAGTAAAGAAGTAGCTGACCTTTTCCCACATTTGAGCTACCTTGCACCGCAGATTTTCATATGCAATTTCATCCATCATATCGTCAGCCTCTTCAGCTTGACTCCGAAGCCCTTCAAGCCAAGACTTCAGAGCAGGGTCGCCTACCATTCCCTTCTGCTCTGCATCCTGCAACACACCCTGGATCATTTTCAGCTTGCGATCAAACCTCCTCAGCTCCTTCTTGAATCCGACAGGTAAGTCGAGCTGCTCGTTAACAGCTGAAATCACCTTGTATAAGGTGACATCCAAAACAGAACCGAGGATCAGATCAGCAGCCATGTTTGGTTCAGTAGTTTGGAAGAGAGAAACGCTTGGTAGATTGTACAGCACAAAAGAGGAGAGAACAATGAAATAGCAGTGGTGATAGACAGCTGGAGGCAACTTTTATACACGCGGTCGGGTGATTACTCTAAACTTTTAGTAATTTTAATTTAATTTTTTTAAAATTTTTTAAACATAAATTTTAAATAAAAATTTAACCTATTACATAAATAATAATTAAAAAATTTATTAAATAAAATTACTTTATAAAAATTTTATATAAAATTTTTTTAATTATTATTTATATAAACTATAAAATTTTTATTTAAAATTTGTATTAAAAATCTAAAAATCAAAATTAAATCTGTTAAAAATTAACAGAGTTGCGAAGGAGAAAGTCTAGAATATCACGGGGATACCACGTCAGTGGTATCCCGAACCAATAGAAGAACACCACGTCATTATACAGTAACACGTCAGGTCATGTTACTGATTCATCATTTAACAGAGATAACGAAAACTAAAACCTTCGTTAGTTATCAACAAAAAAACTGGAAAGTCTTAAAATAAATAAAAGGCAATTGTGCCACCTTTCCCCTTTCTTCTCCCTGCTCCTGACCTCCCTTATCGGCGACCCTCTGTTTTGATCGGAAGCCTTCGGGCTTCCGCGTTTTGATGCTTGAGCCGTCGGGCCCCCCGGCTGCTCAAGCATGGTGGAGCCCCTGTGCTCCGTGCTCCGATGGCCCTCGAGGCCTGTCGGTTTTGTTGGCCCCTCTGGTTTTGTTGGCCCCTCTGGTGGCTTTTGCTTTTTCAGTTTCTTTTTCTGTTTTTGGGTGGGTTTGCTTGGTTGTTTTGCTGTTTCTTGGTTGTGTTTGTACAGATCCGGCGCCCTCCCCTCTTCCGGCTGATCTGTGGCGGCGCTCGCGGGAGTTCCAGATCTGGCGTCCATCGCGGCCCGCTGCTGCTTCCGGGTGATCGCCGCCGCCGCTCGGTTTCCCGCCCCGGCATTCTCTAGCCTGGCGCAACTTCTCCAAGGGTAGATTGAAGGGTGTCCCGTTTGGATCGCTCGACCAAAGGCCGTGGTCTCACCGGGTCCTTAGTGGTTGTTCGAGTGTCAAGTGCACCTCCCTTCGGCCTCTGTGTATAGGTCTGCTCTGATCCTTTCGTTCCAGATGTAATTTTATTGTTTATTATCTTTGTAGATGCCGTTTGGCGGTCTTTGTAATGCAACAATCTCGTTATTTCTCAAAAAAACTGGAAAGTCTTCTCGCCAACTATAAGGTAAAATTATTCTTACCCATTTTGATGAAAGGCATCAGAAAAACATCCTGCAATAATAAACTCAATCCGCTACCATCTGAAACATTTTCTCCAAACTCTAAAAACCCATCTAGCCAAAGACAATATGATTTCCCAGGTAACAACAGAATACAAAAGATACACCCAGGTTTTTTCAATTTAGCCTCTCAAAATTTTCAATTTAGAAAAGAAAATCTCTTTAATTTCTCTCAGATTCCCCTCTTCCTCTCTGATCGGGCTCTCCTTTTGAGTTCCTTTCTTGGATCTCCTTCAATTTCTCATGAATTTTCTTTCTTTCCCAGGTTTTAAACTTTCCATTCTACACATTTTCAAGTTGCTTGACAAATTTTAGAAAGCTTGCATATGAAATTCAAGATATGTTACTGAATTTAAGCGGAACTTAGCCGGCGATTTTGTCGACAACCTTAACGGAGGTTTCAATTTTCCGTTAAATGCTATCTCCGTTGTATGATGAATTAGCAACGTTAATGTAGAGTGACGTGTTGTATTTTTATTGGTACTGGATACCACTGACGTGGTATCCCCGTGATATTCTAGACTTTCTCGTTGCGAAGGGAGTGCATTTTTTCTTCTTTTTACTAGTAACCTTTGAGATTCATTTAAAGTTTAAATTAAGTACAACAGTGATTTTTTTTTTCTTTAGGTTAAAATATCAATTTAATTTCTTAACTTTTAAATTTATATTAAATTTATCATTTAATTTCAAAAATATCAAAATTATGGTTTAACTTGCATTTTCAATATCAATTTTGTCCCTCTCTTAATTAAGTGATGATATAGTTAAATTCTTCATTAAATAATGGATTGTGATACAATAACAATTTTTTTACATAATTTTTATATATTATTAAATAAGTAAATATATTTAATATCATAAATTTTAAATAA